ATGGATGCAACTTTTCCCTCAGATTACGTTCAGCTAAAATGGGAACTCATCCGTTTCCTTACCTGTTTCACTTCCATGAAACTGTATGGTAGGGGAGGAGGGGGTGGTAGAACCATGGTGTCTGGGTCTGATTTCTGAATGGGCCACTTCTACTGGTTGGTTAATTTGGGGTTATGAGATGGGGATGGTGAAAGTAGTGGTGGAAACTCATAAGTTGGTTGGGAGGACTCAACAAGACTCAGAACAATGTCTGGCCCCAAGTGCCAGCTCAAGGAATGTGAGCTATCCTAGCTTGGCCAGTTTGAAGACCTAAGAGAATCTTACCTGAGCTAAGGTCCCTATCCCGGAAATGCTCATTGTCACATACACCCAAAGTCTGAGGTCTTTCAGGGGTACACAGATCTCACCTGCACCCACCTCCTATCCCTGAGGCTAAGCACCTCTGTCTACAAACACCTGAAACAATGGACAAGTGTGTTTCGGTGTGCAAACTTCTTCAGTTGTTGTCAGGTGACCTCCCAGCTTTTCTGAACCATGGCAACAGGTACAGGTAAACAAATAGGTACTGTGGGAGGGAACTTTGTAGCTGGGCTGAAAGTTCCCTTTTTGTTTATTAGGAAGGAAAGCATAGGATCTCCCAGCCATCTTGGTTGGGTTTAGAGAGTAGGAGGAAGGCTTGGGTTTCCCAGGCAATGGAAGAAGCCAAGCTTTTCGCCTCCCCTAGCCGGCCTAAGCCTCCACTCAAGGCTACAAAGTTTCAATTATAGAAAGTAAACAAATCCAAACAGAAATAGCTGCCATCCACAGAGCGGGCAGAAGGCTTGGCTCCACTCCAGGCTACAAAGTTTCAATTGTAGAAGGTAAATAAATTCCAGATACCAGGGCCTCTGCTTGGATTGCCAGGGGGCATGGCTGGCCTGCAAACCACCACAGACCCCTTGCTCTGGCTGCCCCATGCCCCAAGGGAACCCCCACCCTCATCTGGGACACCCTTCAGGGCAAATAAGCTAGCCCCCACTCATACAACAAGCCTCTAGCCTATCTAATAAAAAAAATAATATGCAGATTGACTATCACTCCAACACACAATAGCTTCCCCCATGTGGTCAAAGATCCTGCCTCTATGTGGACATGAGATAGCCACCACAGGATGGCCATTAGGGGAGGACAGTTGGGAGGCACCAGGCCTGCAAGGCAGGGCACTTGGGGGTGATCAAGCCTTCAGGGGAGGGCAGTGAGAGGTGACCAGGCCAACAGAGGAGGGAAGTTGGTGGCAAACAGACTGGCAGGGGAGCAGTTAGACATCAATCAGGCTGTCAGGGGAGTGGTTATGGAGTGATCAGGCTGGCAGGCAGAAGCAGTTAGAGGCAATCAGGCAGGCAGGTGAGCAGATGGGAGTCAGCAGTCCTGGATTGGAGAGGGATGTCCGACTGCCCGTTTAGGCCCGATCCCGGTGGAATCCCACCAGGCCTAAATGAGCAGTAGGCCATTCCTCGAGGGGTTCCAGATCGGAGAGGGTGCAGTCTGGGCTGAGGGACGACCCCCTGTCCCGAGGTTACATGCACAAATTTTGTGCACCAGGACTCTAGTTGTGAGAATAAACAAGTAATCTTTTCTGTCAGAGAAGGAAGTGTGAGCAGCTGCCATTTTGGCCAAGATAACTTTCAGCTCCCCTGGAAACTACCATTATGAAATGTCAAAGGTCAACCCCACTCTTTTTCCTTTAAATTAGTCAATCATGTAAGAATGTGTGCCTAAACTTTGACCAATCATGAATGAGGGAGAAATTGCATGCATCAGGGATAAAGCCTAAATGGACCACCTGCTCAGAGTGCATGTTTGCCAGACCCCATGTGTATGCATCTTCCTGCAGGAATAAAGGTATTTCCTTGCTGTCTGGCTCTTGAGTAACCTTTATGTCCCACCAGGAACCTGGTTTGGGGCTCACCTTTTTTCCTAACATTTCTGAGTCTGAGCAAAACACCTTTACCACATAAATGAGAGCTCTGAAGATAAAGGGGCACATCCTTCCTCCAGCCTGATTCTCAGATCTTCTTAGCTGATGAAGAACCTTTGTGTAGATCTCAGAGTTCCTCACAGTGTGCGGGAGCCCCTCAGGGAAGTCCCTACTCAGCTGTCATTAACTAACTGGCTTGTCCAGGGGCCCCCACAAGCCTTGGTCTGCCAAGTTCCAGAGCCTTTCTGGTTGTGTTAGACACCTGGCAGAGAAACGGGGGCAGGTAATAGGGTTGGATTGTGACTTGAGGGGTGAGAACCTCATGGAGCTCAACACATATGCAGCTCACTTGGACCCACTACATAACATCCCTAGAAAATTTGCTGAGACTACAGATACCCAAAATTAAAAAATAAATAGAAATTGGCATGGGAAATTGTACCTGCAAGGCCAGAAACTCCCAAATCCCAGCTCTAATTTAATATTCCTGATAGGAAGCCTTTACTTGTATTTGGATTACAGAAATGGGAAGTTTTAATTTGAAAATTCCAACTTAAAAATGGCCAAAATGCTGTTGTCTCTGGGTACCTACATTAATATTTTGTATACAAAAACTAGAAAAATGCCAGCTCACAGAGTCCCAAAAAAGATGAACTCCAAAAGATCAACACTTAGACACATCATAATTAAATTGGCAAACACCAATAACAAAGTAAGAATCTTAAAGACTGCCAGAGAGAGAAACCGAAAGTTACGTACAAGGGATCTCCCATTAGACTGTCAACTGATTTCTCAACAGAAAAGCATCAGACCAGAAGGGAATGGAATGAAATATACAAAATAATACAAAGCAGGGAACTGAATCCCAGAATAACCTATCCAGCAAGTCTATCATTGAAAATTGGAGGGAAAAACAGGAGCTTTACAGACAAAAAAGGATTAAGGGAATTCATTACCATCAAGCACCAATGCAAAAAAACGCTAAAGGGATTATTGTAAAAAAAACAACAAACAAAAAAACAAGGAATAGTAAGGGAAGAAGGAACATGGGCACAAAGAATAAAAATGGTGACAAACAAGTACCTATCAATGATAACCTTAGAGGTAAAAGGCTTAACTGCTCCAATCAAAAGACATAGGGTAGCTGACTAGATAAGAAAACATGACCCATATATCTGATATCTATAAAAGACCTACCTCAGAACAAAGGACTCATATAGACTGATAGTGAAGGGATGGCAAAAACTTTTAGGCAAGTGAAAATGAAAAAAAGAAAGAAAAAAAAAAAAGCTCGATTTACAATAGTTATATCTGACAAAATAGACTTCAAATTGAAGGCTATAACAAGAGATAAGGAAGGCCATTTCATAAAACTAAAGGGAGCAATTCAACAAGAAGGATATAACTCTGGTAAACATATTTGCACCCAATGAAGGGGCAACCAAACACATAAAAACCATCTGGAAGATACTAAGGGGGAGATCAATAGCAATGCAATTACAGTAGGGGACTTTAATGCCCCATTGACACCACTGGACAAATCCTCTAAACAAAAAATCAACAAATAACATCAATCCAAAATGACTCACTACATCAGATGGAATTAATTGACATCTTCAGAAAATTTCACTCCAAAGCTACAGAATATACATTCTTCTCAAATGCACATGGGACATTTTCAAAGATAGACCACATATTGGGACACAGGCAGAGTCTCTTTGAATTTAAGAAGATTGGAATCATATCAAGCATCTTCCCAGATCACAACTCTTTGAAATTGAAAGTAGAATGGTGGTTTCCAGAGGCTAGAGCAAGGGGGAAATGGAGGAACTCTTGTTTAATGGATATAGTTTCAATTTGAAATGAGCTCTGGAGATTGGTTGCACAACAATTTAATATAATACTACTGAACTCTACACTTAAAAATGGTACTAATGGTCAACTTAATGTTCCATTTATTTTACCACAATGAAAAACCCGGAAAAAAAATAAAGACAAAAAGTAAATTGAATTTTTAAGTAACTAAACATTTCAATTGCCTAGGGATCCTTGTCAAAAATGAATCCTTGTCATGGCCGAAACCGGTTTGGCTCAGTGGATAGATCATTGACCTGAGGACTGAAAGGTCCCAGGTTCGATTCAGGTCAAGGGCATGTACATTGGTTGCAGGCACATCCCTGGCAGGGGGTATGCAGGAGACAGCTGGTCAATGTTTCTCTCTCATCCACATTTCTAACTCTCTATCCCTCTTCCTTCCTCTCTGTGGAAAATCAATAATATATATATATATATATATATATATATATATATATATAGTTTTTTTTTTAATGAAAACATGTTTTGTAACAGTAAATTTAAAAAGAGGTAGCATCAAACATTTCACATTCCAGGTTAACCGAATTCTATGAACGATTAGTATGGTGTCCAATGCCTTTCTGGAAGGAAGGGCATTGCTCGCCAGTACACAGTCTACAATTGCTGCAGGTAAGGGTATGGCTAAGTGTGCAGTTGTTCAACATGCACCGCCCATAACTTCACCTAATGCAACACAATTCCTGACTTAAACCATAACAAAGGAGAAAAATATATCACATGAGGAATATGCTTTCAAAACTTTTAATGGTTAACTTGCCAAAACCAGGTTTATTCTAAAAGTAAAAACAGGAACATGATTTCTTAAAAAAAAAAAAAAAAAAAAAAAAAAAAAAAAAAAAAAGATGGCACTGTTAAAACTTGAACCATCTTGAGCAAATGGAAGTAAGTTTACCATTCTTTTTAGCCCTTAATAATGTTATTGACTGACCTCCTTAAAGGAAAGGGAGAAACAGCACCCTTTAATAAAAGCCTTGAAATCACTATTCCCTATTACCACAAGATTTTAGAGCAGGTGAAAGCTGTTTGTGTTTTCACAAACAATTGTGAATCAAGGAAATAGCCTGGATATGCTTTCTGACCTGGAACAGTAGCAGGCACAGAGGAAAACAGAGGGCGTGTCCTACCAAACAGGCAAACGTGCTCAAGGTCCAAACACTGGGAGTCATTTTTAAATTAGGGCGAACAGGGAGGCAACGGAGGAGACAGCACGTTTACCGTTCTCCAGCTGTTGCTGAGGATCCTCTAAGTCCTGCTGCACAGACTGGTAGCGGCCCAGGAGGCGTTCAAAGCCCCGCTGGACAAAATGGTGGGCAGAAGGCCTAGACTTGAGGGCTGCACAGCTGGCACACACCATTTCCATTCTGGGGTGGAGGCCAAGGAGATTTGTCAGTTCCCACTGTGGAGGAGAGAAATCAGGGCACAACACTCACTGGAGGATGAACGTCCTCACAGAAAGCTGATCAGAGCAGAATTAACCTAACGGTCCTGAAACAGGAGCATTCCTTTCAATACAGGACTGGGCACAGAATTCTTTCGCATCCCGGATGGATGGTGTCTCTTTACCTTCGCACTCCCTAAGGCCTGCTGGGGGGATGCTGAAGAGGGGGCATGTTTTAGCCACTCCTCCTGTGTCTTTATGGTCCTGTCAAGCTCATCGAGTTGCCTAAAGTAAGTGTTTATATCTTCCTGGAGCTGAATCTTTCTGGCCAGATCCTCCAAATGCTGAGATACATTCTTCCATTCTGATAATACCTTCTCCAGGATATGCTTTATATCTTCAGTCGGAAGATCTTCTACACAGGCATGAAAAATAAGCAATCACTTCATATATTATGACAAAACTGGTTTGGAATTTCTTATAAATAACATTCAAAATAATGAGATAATTTCACATATAATGATCATTCCATAATCCCTTTTAACAAAACAAAAAATATATAGTCATGAAATAAAATAAGTAAATATAAAATATAAACTATAATGATGCTATAATAATGATAATAATGCTGCTGCTGCTGCTGCTGGAAATAACTGCTCGATTCCGTGACCAAAGTGAGAGGGGGGGCTTGAAATGGTGTTTCAGGAGTGGCGTGACTATCACAAAAGGACCATCAGTGAAGCTTAGAACCTCAGCCACTGCCTTTTCTATACAAGGTATATTTGCATCCTTGGCATCCTGGCATTCTGCTAGCTGCTAGCCTAAGCCAGGGAAATAAAAGAGACTGTCTGGAGGTGCCCGGGGCTCTGACATCAGAAAGTAGACACTCTATTAACAGAAAAGTTGCAGCTGGCTACAGAAACCAGGAGGCAGCTTAAGTTTTTGGTGACCAAACCACAGTGTCATAGGAATAGCAAAAGGAATAGCAAGAATTGTCAGTGCTGGGAGCAACCTGGGAAAGTGTAGAGACAGCCAACCAGCAGCCAGACCCATTAGCATCAGCAAGCCTGCCCGGCTCGCCACACACAGACCAGCAAATACCAAAACATCAATGCAGCAGTAATATTATCTACTTCAGAAATACATCAGGAAAAAATGCCATTATGTTTATTACTGGCACCTTATACTTATTTTTAAGTGGGAATATCCCAACAGTTTTACTTATTTATTTTGATACATTATATCCTCAGGAATTACATATAATTTTGCTTGTCTACTTTTTTTTTCTTTATTTCAGGGAGGAAGAAGGAGAGAGAGATAGAAACATCAATAATGAGAATCATTGGTTACCTGCCTCTTGCGTGCCCCACCCCCTGGAGATCAAACCCACAACCCAGGCATATGACCTTGACCAGAATTGAACCTGAGACCCTTCAGTTTGCAGGCCAATGCTCAATCCACTGAGCCAACCCTGCTAGGGTTTATCTCACATTTTTGAGAGTTAGGAATGTTCATAGAAATAATCAAATTATATATAATAACAGCTTTTGTCACATAAAAACCCTAAGTACTATGAAAAAGTATGAGAAATCTGCACAGGAGAGCATGTATGTTGGGAAGATAGGAGGCCAATAAGGACAATTATACTTTATAAATATGTACCATCGAAATCTGGGGTAATGAGAGCACTAAGGGAAAAAAGGCAAGAACCATGAAAGTTCACTTCTGACCCACAAACGATGCAATTTCAAAAATTCCTATAACACCTGGTATCCACTGAAAATTAGAAATGCACACAGGATATGATTTGAATACATCACCTGTGTCAGTGGCTGAAGTTCACTGGCTGTCATACAGGTAACAGAATATTAATTAAACCTAAGCAAAATATTCACACCATAGCCCAATGGTCAGCAAACTGTGGCTCGTGAGCCACACTCTGTTGACTAATGAGTTTGCTGACCACTGCCATAGCCCAAGTTCAGTTATCCCTGTTAACGGGGGTCATAAGCAAAACACAATAACATCTTCCTGACGAACTAACTGAGCGATGGAAACAGGCTGTGCTTCCACCAGATCGTTTCTATTGTAAGTGGACAAAAGAATAACACCAACCACCTCATTTTCATGTCAGCACTTTGTGCTACACAAGAAAGAACATTGAGCAGGTAAACAGTCTTGAGATGAAAAAGTATCGCTGCTCAAAAAAACAGGCAATGGGTGCTCACATTGGGTACTAGGGAAGCTGAAGCAACTTCTCCACTTCCTTTGTTTATTCACTGACAGTACTTCATGATCCATTTATGTTGCCTCTTCAAACCAATTCTCAAAGTGTAAATCTCCCTCCTCCAAGCTTGAGGTAATATAGGTCAGACCAATATCAAAGAAAGCACAAGTTGCATCATAAGAAAAAAAAAAAAGAGGAAAACTACACATTGTTTTTTTAAATAATGGTTTTGCTCCCAGAGACCCAAAATAATGACTTTTCTACCTCTATAAAACACCCAACTCTTAGAGGACTAATTAAAGCCACATCAATAGCTCCTCATTTTACTACTTAACCTAAGAAGAATAAAATAGAACATATTCTTGCCATTTATTCTCATTTGACTTTATGCTGTTCAGTGACTACACTGTTGCAATCAAGAAAAAGGTTTACAGAACATGGGACCATCAGGCTTACATACTTTGCCAGGCATAATGAGCATCAATTCGTAAAGCCAAATGCCCATCCAAATGCCCGACGACTCTAGTACATTTATTGAGAAACCCTAGGAACCTGATAAGCAAAACAAACACAACCAGGTAGAACAGAGAATTGCTGTTTTAAAACCTCAATATGCTATATGAGCTATCACAAAACTTAATTCAAATGCATTAGCCAGAAAAGTCCTATCAGAATTCATTATGGTAGGATTTTTGATGGAATAGTTTGAGGAAGCCAGTGACATGATTATTTGAATATGCTTTTCTAATTGAACTGAATTATTTATCTGCCTCCTTACCTAGGTAGACTATAGTCAGATTACACCCTATAACACACACACACACCCTCTTATTAATTACCGGTGTTCTAGGACTTATTTCAATTTTCTAGGGGAGGAGAAGGAGAAACAGAGAGGATCACCCAATTGTGCTTTCATTTCTGCTGAACATTCCTGGTTTTATAGCAGCAGCAGGATTATCAGCACTAACCACATGTGGAGAAATAATATGCAATGCTGTAAAATTATAATAATAGCTAACATGGAACAACAGTGGGGAAATTTTAAAAAATCATTTTCATTCTCTCAGTAACAAAAAGCAAACACCTTCAAAAAAATTATTAAATTAAACCCAGAACATATAAACCCTGGATCAATGCCCCTATTTCTCAGCTTCCCACCCCATCCTAAAAAAAATTTAATAACAGATATGAAATAAATAAAATTAGGGTTCTATAATGAATGCATTTCTAGTCCTACCAAAGCTCAAAATAATGGTAATGCAAAATATAGGTTTCTTATGAAATTTAAAAAGCATATATTAAGTCACAAAATTCATACCTTAAAGTAACTTTATCTCTCTGATGTTGCCAAAGTAAAATTTTCTTTTACAACCTCCCCCCGTCTTCTCCCTGCACAATAATTTCCCAACATATAATCCCAAAGGAGGAGATTTTAAAATCTATGCAGTAAAATGTAACTGTTTTGCTGAGATATCCGAGTTTTAGGTTCTCTGATCCTGTCTAAAAGCAGAACAACTTTGCTTTTATCAGTTTGATAAATCAGCCTATGCATAAGATTTCATTTGAAAAAAAAAATATTTTGCTGACAAAAAATTTTCTAAAAACCACTCTTCTAGCAAAGATGGTTGGAGTATCAAAACATATATTTGATTTGTCAAACTGTAAATATGATGCAATGCCACCATCTAAAAACACATTAAAAAAAAAATCAAGGGTCTCACCTTTTCCCATTTGCTCCAAAAGGATTTGTCCAGTCTGGTTCTAGGCTGGGTCTTCTTTCTATCTGTTCTCTTTCTATTCCCTGGAAATAAAGTCTCAATATAAGAATATTGTAAACTTTCTGCTGCGAATAATGTTTTAGTGTTTAAAGTCCCTCCCACATTCCCTTTAGGTGTCACTCAGTTTACCTAAGAGGATACTACCATACACAACTAGGCAACTGCAGGCCACCTTCCAGAGCACCAGAGATGCTTAATTTTAAAAGGTATGTTCAAACAAACAATTAAAAAACTTGGGTTTCTTTTAAAAAAAAAATGTTTACACTACAAATACGAGTTTCTATCAAGAGGAAATAAGGCCGAAACCGGTTTGGCTCAGTGGATAGAGCGTTTGCCTGCAGACTGACAGGTCCCAGGTTCAATTCTAGTCAAGGGCATGTACCTTGGTTGCGGGCATATCCCCAGTAGGGGTGTGCAAGAGGCAGCTGATCAATGATTCTCTCTCATCGATGTTTCTAACTCTCTCTCTCTCTCTCTCTCTCTCTCTCTCTCTCTCTCTCTCTCTCTCTATCTCTCTTCCTTTCTATAAAAAATCAATAAAATATATATTTTTTAAAGAGGAAATTAATAAAATTAGTGGTTTAGATCCAGAAAACCTTCTATTTACATATATAGCCTCCACATATGCCACACCATAAAAATAAGGGTTTGCACCGAAACCGGTTTGGCTCAGTGGTAGAGCATTGGTCTGCGGACTGAAAGGTCCCAGGTTCGATTCTGGTCAAGAGCATGTACCTTGGTTGCGGGCACATCCCCAGTGGGGGGTGTGCAGGAGGCAGCTGGTCAGTGTTTCTCTCTCATTGATGTTTCTAGCTCTCTCCCTTCCTCTCTGTAAAAAATCAATAAAAATATATTTTAAAAATAATAAAATAAGGTTTTGCATCCAGCGAACTGAATGTGCTCGGACAGAGATCACTGAACAAAAATTAATTAACAAGAAAAAGAAACAGCCCTCACTGATTGGCGCAGTGGATAGCATGTCGGCCTGTGGACTGAAGAGTCCAAGGTTTAATTTTGGTCAACGGTACATGCTTGGTTTGCAGGTTCAGTCCCCAGTAGGGGGGCATGCAGGAGGTAGATAATCAATGATTCTCTCTCATCACTGATGTTTCAATATCCCTTTCCTTCTCCCTTCCTCTTTGAAATCAATAAAAATAATTTTTTTAAAAAATAAGAAAAAAAAGGCCAAAATAATTTGAATCACAGTATTTTTTGTTGGTATTACATTAAGTCTAGAATGTATTGCAAACTTCAATCATCAACATAAATTCATACATAATTTATAAATAATTCCAACATACTTTAGGATCCAAACTAAAGCATTTGGTTTTTGTGTTTTAAAATGGCTTAATTTTAATATTTATGTCTCTATGGTTTTACATTCTCATTGTGCCTACTAACAGGTTATGAAGACAAACTCCACAACCTCTACAAAAGGGCTGAACAAGATCACGAGAATACATTCACATACACATACATGCGCACTCAGTATTTGAAATTTTTCCCTCTCCTCAATTCCCAATTGGTATCAACTACTCAAATTGTGTCTAAAATAGCACAACAAAAACTTGTAGGAAGGCAAAATAAGGAATTAACAAGATATTACTAATAAAATAGAATAATTATAACGATACATTGTAATAAAAATTATGCAAATGTGGTCTCCCTCTCTCTCAAAATACCTTATTGCACTGTACCCACCTTTTATTTTCACAGATCTGAACTGCCAGCATCACAACTTTTGTGCTTTGGGGCCATTAGTAAGTAAAATAACAGCCTTATTTGCACCACATAAGTACAGTGATGCCTCAACAGTCGATCTGATAATGAAGGCAGCTACTAAATGACTGACAGAGGGTAGCCTATACAATGTGGATTCACTGAACAAAGATGGGATTCACGCCCCAGGTGGGGCGAAGCAAGACAGTGCTGCTCAGAACGGTATGCAACTTAAAACTTCTGAATTGTTTATTTCTGGAATTCCCCTTTAATACGCTTAGACTGCAATTGATTGCAATAACTGTGCATAAGGAGGCACTACTATAGTTTGCTGTAGAAAGCAAAACGTCTTCTGCACACACACAGTCACAAATTATTAGGTACCAGATTAAAACCTAATCAAGAGGGGGGTAGGAGTGGCCAGGGAGAGGTCAATGGGGGAAAAGGGAGACCAATGTAATATTTTAAACAATAAAAAATTTAATTTTTTTTTTAAAGATCGAATCAATGCCAGTAGGGGGTGTGCAAGAGGCAGCTGGTTGGTGTTTCTCTCTCATCGACGTTTCTAGCTCTCTGTCCCTCTCCCTTCCTCTCTGTGAAAAATCAATAATTTAAAAAAAAGATTTAATCAAGCTAAAAATATAAATAATATTTAGATCCCCTTAGGAAGGAAATGTTCCTTCCTACACAACTCAGTGGTTAAGGAGGAAGGGAAACAATTTCTCTTCCACACAGGGATCTGATGCCAGCCAGCTTGAATTGATTCAAAATTTACTAGAATGTTCTAAAAGCTGCGTTACGGCTACATTTATTCTACAAGAAGCTTTTGGGTCCCCTCCCACATTTATGTCAAAGTAAATCTATCCTGATGAAATATTTTATTCACTAGTGTACTTCTGTTTTATGTTTTACCTTCAACTTCTTTTTCATTTCTGAAGTCTCTTGCATTTTCTTATATTCTTTTATCTCTGTGGCCTGAATGGCAGTCTTTGATTTCGAAATCCAGTCCAGCAGCTCTGCACTCAGGACATCTAACCTGATTTGAGATTCAGATGTCAACACCTGTCATTGGTTTCCTTCTATTGTGTCACTTGGCTCAAGAAAGAGAGCAGCCTAGCACCATCCAGCAAGCGTTGTAAAAACTCCTCAGAAAACAAAACAAGGAGCCATCCCAGAAATACAGAAACCACACAAAATAAGGTCACACATGCACAATCCAAAGCATGAACAAAGGAATAATAGTGTCGTGTTAATAAATAAAGAAAATCAATATTGAATGGTGGAAACTTTTAAAGAAATAACTTGCATTTTTATAAACGCTCGTAGATAATGAGAAACAGATTTGGTTGGTTAGATAGTGACAAAAAAGAACAAAGTAGGGACAGTGCTAAAGTTCATGCCTTCTTTAATTCATCGCAGAGTGGTCTCAGTTACTGTCCAACTGGCACTTCCTTGTGCTCAGTACTTTGTACTGTTTGTCTCAGGCAGGATGCCAGCTATTCCGTGTCTTTATTTCTCTGTATTCACCCATTCATTCGTAGTTTCTATGATGGTCCCCTATGGCCGAGTTACTGATTAGGACAGCAATTTTCAACTAGTGGGACACAAGAATGTTCAAAACATGCCATACCTGACTCTTTAGTCAGGGCACTGACCTCATTTCCCTTAGATTGTCAACTAAAAAATCACAACAGTCAACACAACAATAACCATCTGGTGTGAATGAATCAAAATTACACTTTTTTTTTTGCCAGATTAGCAAAAATATATTGTTTTGATGTGCCACAGAATTTTAGTAATTAGTCGGTATGTGCTATAAGGTGAAAAGACTAAAAACGCTGGTTTAAGATGCTGGGAAAACATAGATCAAGAAAGATAAGATACCTGTTCTCCCATAGTTTTGTTGAGGACATAAATAAACAAACAAAATAATTTAAGATAGTACTAAGAAATACGAAGAACAGCCAATAGAGTAGTTTTTTGTGGGGTTTTTTTTTTGGGGGGGGGGGTGGGGGCGGGGGGTACCATTAGATGAGATTTCTCTCTGAAGAAGCGATTTTTATGCTGAGACCTAAGGATGAAAAGAAGCCAGCAGTGTAATGACCCTGGTAAGGGGGTTGAAATTGAAAGTCAAAGTCCTCAGGCAGGGGTGAGCTTGGTTTATTGAAGCAACAAAAACAATAGCCCCAAAGGAATAAGGTGTGACTGTGCTTAGTGAGCAAGGGGACATGAGAGTATTGGGGGCCAGATCATGTAGACCATAGAGAGGACTTGTCATTTTATTCAATTATATCCATCCAACAATTTTTGCACATCTTACATTTCTTCACTTCCCTCCTCATTCATCTTAGGTTCCCTGCTTCATCCTTATAATTGCTCCCTTAAAAACACCGTTGTCTTGCCAAAACCTGTTTGGCTCAATGGATAAAGCCTCGGCTTGGGGACTGAAGGGTCCTGGGTTCGATTCTGGACAAGGTCATGTACCTTGGTTGCGAGCAAATCCCCAGTAGGGGGTGTCCAAGAGGCAGCTGATCGATGACTCTCTCTCATCGATGTTTCTAACTATCTCTCTCCCTTCCTCTCTGTACAAAATCAATAAAATATATATTTAAAAAAAAAAAAAACACACATCCTTTTCTTTTGTGTTAGTACCTACTCCTGTGTAACAAATGACACAAAAATGTAGTGGCTTAAAGCAGGAAGCATTTTATCTCACAATATTTGCAGAGCGGCGACCTAAAGATGGTGTAGTTGGGCAGGTGTGGCTGAGGGTTTCTGGTGAAGTTGAATGAAGATGTGAGCCAGCACTGCAGCTCCCTGAAGGCTTGACTGGGGTTGGGGGACTCGCTTCCAGGCTGACTCCCTCACACACATGGACAGCAGCCCTGGTTGTTAGCTGGAGGACTAGTACCTTGTCACACGGACCTCTCCATAGAACTTCTTGAACATTCTCATTACATGATGGCTTGCTTTCCCCGAGAGAGTGATCCCAGAGAGTGCAAAGTCTGTTATGCTATAGCTTGGAAATCACACACCATTGTTTTATCAGATTTCCCGAGCACACAAGTCATCACTGCACACAGAGGGAGAGGAACAAATCACCATACGAACTCAAATTTACATGATGCGTTTTTTCCTTTCAAATACTCATCCAAAGGCATCAGTCATAGTGGTGAGGAGCCCTTTGCTCTGCAGCCAGAAGGAATATTGGGTTCAAAGAGCAGGTTCACCCTG